CTCCGGCCACAAACCTGCAGGAACAGAGAACTTGACATGTAGGAGCGCGTCTCCATCATCACTCTTCTTCTTCTGATCATGTTTTTAAGAAGCAGGTCATGACATTCATCTGAGGTCAGACAACATCTCTAAATGAAGCTTCCATAAATCACCATCTGATCTAAGGGGTCCCAGCCCTGGTTTTACTGAGCTAACCAGCTTAGCTTTTCATGGAATTCTCTGTTCTGTCCATCATGTCCTCCATGTCTCCTAAAATAAATCAATGGTTTTAACACTACATTAAAAAATACAGTCATTTTTTACAAAGAACCTCTAATCAGGCTGCAAATCTTGGCTCCAACTGTTTTCCTGATCAGATATCATGTTGGATTTTCAGCAGGCTAGCCCCCCCTTCTCTGAATGCTGCCAGCTTCCTCTAAATGCTGCCAGCTTCCTCTTAATGCTGCCAGCTTCCTCTTAATGCTGCCAGCTTCCTCTGAATGCTGGCAGTTTCCTCTGAATGCTGTCAGCTTCCTCTAAATGCTGGCAGATTCCTCTGAATTCTGCCAGTTTCCTCTGAATGCTGCAGCTTACTCTAAATTCTGCAGCTTCCTCTGAATGCTGCGAGCTTTACCCGAGTCTGAGCGGCGCCCCACGGCCGCCCTCACTGCCTTCCATCAGGGCGGAGGACTCCTCCAGCAGGTTGGGGTCCTCCATCTGGAAAACAGGCCTTTATTAGTGACCTCTGGCTGACCTGCAGGAGGAAGGTTAAGGACGGCCTCAGCTCAGCTGACCTCATCGAAGAACTGCTGTGTTCTGTGCAGGATGTGCTTGAGCTCCGTCAGCTCCAGGAAGTTCTTCTTCAGAGCTTCCTGGTTGGTGTTAATCTCCTTCAGCTCGTTCTCCAGCTTCTCAAAGGTGGCCTGTGGAGCAGAAGTTCTGAGAGCTGAAACATGCTGAGCATCTGGACCTAGATCCAGGCATCATAGATTGAACGTTCTGAGCTAACCTCCAGGTCGATCATGTCCCTGGGAAACGGGACTTCTGGGTTCTCTCCAGTGTCCACCATCGGGATGCTGGCCTTCTTGATCTCCTTCTCAACAAACCCTGTTTGGACAGGAAAGCAGAAGTTGGACCAGTAGAACCAGTGTTGTGATGGTCTGAACCCTGGTCCAGTTCTGCTGGTTCTGTACTGAGCTGAAGCACAAACCCAGACGGCCTGAAGCCATCTAAGAGCAACCTTTGAGCTTCTAGAACAGAAACAAAGAGCGTTGCTCCAAAGGGACCTGCAGCAGAGCGCTGGGCCCGGTTTCGCAGGTAGAAAGGTTCTGGTGTCGGTACCGTGAGTCTGAGGTTGTTACTCACTCAGCTTCCTGTCCATCTCCTCACATCTTCTCACTTCGTTCACAAACTTCCGCTGGAAAACGTTGACATCTGGATTCAGCTGCGGGAGGAAAGGATGGATTATTGATGGGATTATTTCTCAGAAATTAGAACCAGTCAGAACCAGTCAGAACTCACATCTCTGAACTGGACCATGCCCAGTTCTCCCAGCTCGCTGACGCAGCAGTAGGCGGCCTCTGACTGGAGGAAGAGCTGGGCCAGAGTCATCTCCTCACTCCTGAACATCTCCCCCATGGTGGCACCAGGAGTCTGGATCACAGCAGAACCAAACTGTTAGGAATCCAGTTTGTGTGGGTTGTTTTTGTCTTTTTCTCCCTCCACCACCACGTGGTGCCCTGTTCTTGTTGGTCCTCCCACACACATGCGGCTGGTTGGCTCATCACTGAGGACTATTTGAGCCATGGACTGTCACTACTTTGGGGGCAGAGTGTTTGCCAGTTTTGGGTACTCTAGCCAAGCTGAGTTTTGCTGAGTCTAACAGGGTATTTTTTCTTTCGCTGAGCCTAACCTGTTTTTGTCCTTGCCTTTCGGCAGGAAGCCTTCCTGCAAGCTGGATGTTTGGCCTTCTCCCCCTGGAAGGATTGTTTGAGTCTCACAGTGAGCAGGGGAGTAACCTCCACAATTTCCGTTCAAGACCTCCTGGATTCCCAAGTGACAGTCCGCTCAATAGTTCCTCAGGGTCTAACCAAGTCTATACCTGTCCGCCCTCCAACGAGTCTCTACCTTTGGATAAACCCACACCAACTGGATTCTAGGAAGAAAGTTTTCTCCACTAATGTGTGTGCCGTTTTCTCTGTCTCTCCAAGTCATCATTCAAAGTTCCCACGGATCCTGAACTAACCACTGATACTTCCCTCTTCCAGTTCCGGTTCACCAGTACACTGAGTTTCCTGAATCCAACCCCGCTGTCCTTATAAACCTGTTCACACTTTTACTCTGGTTCTCTGAGTGGTTTACTGCATATGGGTCAGATCCCTTAAGAAAATCATGACACAAACACAGGCTGATGGGCCAGAACTGGGCCAGAACCGGATCACCAGAACCGGATCATCAGAACCGGATTCACCGGTCGGTTTGCATCAGAGCATCAGGAGGCCTGATTGGAGCTAAAGAAGGATTTTAATTCAGCTTCCAGAACCACCCCCCCAACCCCCTCTGCTGCAGATGCCCTTCAGCATCAAGGTCGCCATGATGGTGCTCCTGCAGCTCCGCCTCCTCAGCATCACGCCAGGCGGCCTGTCCCTCCGCAGCGACCCGGTGATGAACAGCCGTGAGGATGAGGGAGGCTGTCGGTGCGGAGGATGTCCGCGGAGCCTGGAAGGCCTTTTAACCAGAGTCAGTCCGAAAGCCGCGGAGAGGAGGCGGCAGGAGGGAGGCAGCTCCTCCTGCTCCTCCTGCTCTTCAGAGGCTCTGACAGAGAAACGGGTGAAATAGACTCACCTGAAGAAGCTTCGTGTCTGAAGGTTTCTTCTCCTGCTTGGCAGCTAATGACGTCAGAGATGCTGATGCTGCGCCGCTCCCTGCCTGTCAGCTGATCCATCCGCGCGAGCGGAAGGATACATATAAAACCAGGCGGAGTTTGTTTCATGTTTCTGGAAACAATAATCAGACAAACATTGGAGTAAAATCAGCCTGATGATGGCCTCCATGAAGGTCTGATGGATGGAATGAAATGGATCTCAGATATTAAAGATCTTGGTGTTATTTAGGAGAAAATTATAAATATCCTGTCCAGGGGTGATGCTGAGAAACTAGTCCATGCATTTGTTACTTCAAGGCTGGACTATTGTAATTCTTTAATATCAGCAAGTCCACAAACTGTAGT